CCTAGGGATTGGGCCTGCCTTCTCCCACCCGGGAGCAGGCTTAAGCCAGCAGGTCATTTTCTCCCGAGGGGTCCCAGACTGCGAGAGGGCACAGCCCGGGCTGGGGGACCGCCCCCCCCCCCCGAGTGCACAAATTTTTGTGCACCGGGCCTCTAGTACAAGTATAAACTCCTCCCTTCCATTGCACTTCAGTTGTTTGGGCACCAACCCTTTCCCTGAAAGGTCACTGGTTCCATTCCAGGTCAGAGCACAAGCCTGCCTGGATGCCCTGTAGGTGATGGGCAGGAGGTAGCAGTTCAATGTTTCTTTCTCCTATCACCATTTCTCCTTCTCTCCTTTTCTCTCTTTATAAAAGTTCAATAAAAGAATGAAAAATAAAAGGTCAATACAAATATTTTAAATATATAAAAGACATTTTTTAAAAGAGAATAAACTTTTGTGTTTTTCATACTCACATCTGAAAGCCTACTTTTGCCCTGAACCTGTATATGGGTGAGAGATACGTTTATTTCACATGTGATATTTTTACAGGTTTATCCATATGTCCAAGCTCACCACATAGTACACATTAAAAGAGTGGGTTTTGTTGCATGTCAGTTATAAATATCCGATATAATAAAAGCCTAATATGCTAAGAGTCCAACCATCCATTTGACCATTCAAAACAGTCACTATGATGCGTACTGACCACCAGGGGGTAGACAATCTGACAGGTAGGTTAGCTTGCTCCTGGGGTCTGGTTAATTGGGACTGGGAGAGATGGGCCAGGCATGCCCTGGACCTCTCCTGCAATCCCTCACAGTCCCTTCCCAGCCCTATCATATATCAGGACTGCTTGGGGGATGTGGGATAGCCAGTTTCGGCCTGATCCCCTCAGGCAAGGCCAAGGGACCCACTGGTGCATGAATCCATGCACCAGGCCTCTAGTACTTAAGAAAGCCTTAAAAAGTACTTCCAAATAAAGACCTAGATATCCTTGTCTTGTCAGGAAATTAAAATGGCAACCCTATATGGGCTCTACCATTTCCTAATTTCCTGGGAGGACCAGCCTTGCCTCAGGAGCAGCAAATATTGGCAAGCAGTGAAGACTACTGCCATGGAATCAACAGGAATGCTGACTGGTTACAAAAAAAAAAAAATACAACCTGGGATATTATAGGATTAGCCTTCCTTTAGCTCCGAGGTCTTACCAGTTGAGGAAACCTTGAGGTGAACACCCTAGATGGGCCAGGGGACTCCAAAAAACTGTGTTTATTTTTTCTGCCAATGACTTTAGCCACAGAATATAGATATGTAGATCCTGAGAGTATCTGTACATAAAGATCACATAAGCCACAGACCTTTGATTATTTTTTGATAACGTTCAGAAGAGGCATTTTTCATACATTTTACTGCAGTCTTCCCACTCACTATGAATACA